GGCTGGCTCTCCCGCTGGTCGTAAGCTCTCCAAGTCAAATCTCTGTCCATCTGTTCTCCGTTCCCTTGCATACACAATCTACTCTTCCTTCTCCTCTGGCCTTTACCGACTTCTCCTCTGCTAAGTTACCATGGTCTGAAGATCGCAGTTGCTCGGTTTGACTCACTTAACCCCCTGCGATAAGGATATAGTAGATGCGCCGTAAGTCTACCATCACTAAAAATGATCCACGCGCATGTCACCGTCCTTGCATCGTGATCCTGTGGAACGCACGGTGAACTTCATTATGCTATGACAGTTAGGCAAGGCAATTAGTAAAATTGAGATTAGCGAGTCAGGAAACGTTCATTGTGAAGGCCGAAACAGCTTTCGACTAGCACAGTCAATTTAGACAGACAAGTCCTACCTCCAGGAGGGTGGTTTATTCCGACAGGACCATGACAATCGAGGACATTTTCTGTGCATTTGAAATGCGCAGAAGTTTAAACTATGCTCGATGATGCCATGTAGCAAACAAACTTGCGATAGCAGCTTCATCCCACGTCTGTGGAGTTTGACATGGAACTACCCCTTGTACTAAAAAAAAACATTGCCTAAAGCAATATACCAGGCTGTCGAAAGCGATTAAATATTATGTGCAGAACTTCCGAAAATACTAAACTGGCGGTTAGGAATGCCTTGCTCCAGGGGAAGAGTAATTCATTTTATGGAAAGCAAGTGTTATTATAAGGAATTCAGGCCTGCACAAAATCCGGTCACTAAAAGGTAAAAAGCCAAAACCGACAACGATACGTGGTTTAGACATTTGTGCCCACACGTTGTTGATAGAAAAACGTTCGTTTCTTCAGGGAAAACCGTAGGGAAGTTAGACAGAAAACAAAACGACGCACGAAAATATTCTATAACTCGTTCAGGGTTTTACCCTTCTTCAAGGGGAACAGCCTTCGAAATTGCAATGTTAAATGACCGCAAAATGTACTGAAACGAACCTGTTATATGAACTTTCAGAAAAGGGGGCGCGCATGTTAGCTAATCGCTTTTATCTTTGCGGAAATTTGCGAAAATTAAGTCTCTGAGGCGTCGAAAATAGGAAGTCGGACATAGCTGACGTCAAGCACATGAACGCGGTGTCAAGGGAAGGAGACTAAAGGACGGATCAAGCAACGTCATTTTTGTCCCTCCCCCTGCCCACGCCAACGTTTTTCATCCTGCTTTTTTTTCAGTAAAATAACATACTCTAGGCATAAAAAGTTCCATGGTTCGTTACATTTTCCCGCCAACTAATTGAATTTGAGCATCACAGACAACCAGCCAGCGACTCGCGGCGTAGTCGCACGTCCGACTGACTGTCTTGTCTGTTTCCGAATAAAAAGTTGATAACGGCACGCAGATACTTCTTCTTCCCCTGACTTACTGATGTGGCAGTGACGATGATGCCTTTGATGTTTTATATTTAGTCTTCCACTCAACAAGGATCCAGAGAATAACGTACAGACAGCTAATTCGATTATCACAGCAAACTGAAGGATGTTTTGAGGCGGATTAAACGGAGTTGGTAATTCGTAGGCGTATGCATTTCTCTCCTGTTCGCAAAACCTCAAAGTTCGCCAAACTCTCGAAGGTTATAGTTAAATTCTGATGGGTTGGTTTCACTCCATAATCTGGTAACAAAATTCCTAAGTCTCACCAAGTTTGTGATGTGTAAATGAAAAAAAAAGAAAACATTTATGCTACGCAGAGCGAGAATCAATCTGCTAGGTTATTATCTGAAATAAAGACAACAAAATGATCAGAACACTCATTTTCTCCACTTAAGTAGTTACCACGAACATGTGTGGAACTATATTCGGGTTAACATCAAGTCTATAGACGGGAAAATAGTTGAACGTCGTTGAGAGAAAGGTATTTATGCCCTCAAGGCGGACTGGATCGAACAAGCTATCTTGAACGAATGTTAACCGTCACTCCTTATCCAAAATGCGGACGACAAACACGATCGGACCACCATTTAAAGACAAAACCCTTGCTGCTGTTTCTACCAAAGTGATGGCGTCCAGTTTGGCAATCCAGAATGCTCGTTCTTTTTTAAATAATTCAATGGATAAACATCCGATGGGAAACACTGCCTTGACCAACAGAAATCTGGCCAATCATTGTGTGAATAGCGGCTTACTCAACCATACCTGCTTTACGAGACAAGCACAGCTGACAATTGTCAGTTCAACCTACGCCTTCTGCCAATGTGGCGGTTACAAGGAGGCGTGTCGTCTTCGTATGAGAAATTACTTCGTTATAATGCGGAGTAAGGGATGACATCATTCCTATGAAGCCAAGATAACTGCGGCATCATCACCCTCGCCTAAGCCGCCACAACGGCCGACAGGAACCCCAATACTTTGATAGAAGAGATTCTTCGGGAAACAGCAACAAACTTTATTGTAAATTTTCGACACTGGCACACCAGGTCGTCTTCGGACGCGAGGGAAACGTGTGAAGAGCAGTCCGCATTTTTAAACGTGTTAAAAAATCGATAATGCTGCGTCATCCGTGGTCAATAGCATGTTTTGGTGGTTGGCCCTTTTTCCAGGCTTTTTTAAGATTGGTGTACATTGAATTCAACTCAACGTGCTTGTTGATGCACGAATCGTCGGAGTTGATGGCTATTGACCACGGATGACGCAGCATTATCGATTTTTTTACATGTTTAAAAATGCGGACGTTTTGTCGGACGGTCGCTTAACGTTCCCATCAACATATCGACTTCCGGTAAGAACTTCTTACCAGTTTAACACCGAAAATCCACTTGTCATCGAGAAACAATTCCTCCGCCAGAAATTAGGCTGGACCTGAATGGTCTTCACTTGCCTGAGATGCAAACAATATTCCGACAGCTGCACAATATGCTCACTCCAGACAATTCGCTTATTGAGCCTCTTTGTACGAGAAGCAGATTCTTCCTCAATTTCAATAAGCTGAAGTCAAATAAATTACTTAATATAACCGAAACCTAAGCAATAACTTCAAGTTATATGGAATTTGGTGCAAGACGGTCGACTCATGTGCTAATGTCCTGTTTAGCGGGGTAGATACTATTTTCCCCAGATCCCCTGCCGTCCTTTAAATTGAACGTTGGAATTTCGAATGGACTCACAGAGACTTTGGTGTATACTGCAGAAAGTTGCTAAACTATAAATCGAAATCCAATGGTGGTTTTACCGTTTGTGGCGGACAGACGGTCGGATTACAAATTTTAAAATCTGAGCTTATCCCACGGACTTTAAGTACAGATTTCGAAGCTGTCTGAAGACATGCGTGGAGAAGCACTGATACAGTCTCGCTTGCCTCATGCATAGAAGGGCAAAATATGGCGTAGTTGGGGAAGGGGACAGAGGTCAGCAAATTACTCACAAATGCGCTGAAGATCATGCCGTAGTTGACAGCCATGTAAGTGGATCCAAATATGCGGCAGGTCGCGGCTGGCATAAGCACGAAGACGCCGCTCAACGACAGGAAGAGGATACAAACCCATAGAGCGTACAGGCCCTTACCCACTGTGGGTATTGCACCAACGTAGGGGAAAGTGAACAGAAGGAGGGCCCACACACTGAGCATGATTGCCAACGGAATCTGGAAAAAAGTGAAGAAAAACAAACTCAAAACATAAGTCTGACTAAAATTCTCTACATATACTCAGTCACAGATATGCTTAGGAGGAATTTAGCATCCAAAAGCAGGCCAAAAACTTTTACTGGGCATAACTGGCCGTTTAATCGTGGATTTCACGTTTTCAAGACGTAGATTGTCGAACGGGCAGCCTCAGGACTGTCTCTGGTGATGGATTCGAATAGGAAGCTGAAACAAATACACTTTTTTAGCGATCGATTTTCATTTTTCTTACTCCCAGAAAGATAGAAAGGAAAATTTAATCTCAAAATCTCTCGTTGTATCTTGAACGCTAGTTTTTCTTTTAGGTTTCGTATGCGACCAACATCGCCGATCGGTAACCCTCGGAGTTATGTGCACGTAAAGAGATGCAAGCAAAAACCCATGGAGCAATTGAAAAATAACTTTGGTATACATATGGACTGCAGAGATTAGACCCTTAGGAACAGTAATTCCACAGCTAGTTAGACATATTAATAAAATCCTCACTCGTAATGCTTCTTTTTTTTGGAGAAAACAGTCAATGAAGTTTTTAAGTCAAGCAACGATTAATAATTCAGTAGTCTGTGGGATTATAAGGAGCAAAAATATAAGAAGTATGCGAATGTCAACCAGTGATAAATGATGTCCGTAGAGCAAACGTCATCACACATTGACTTCTAATTCTACTGTATGGCGTTGTCGTGAACGAAAAGGATTATGAAGTAAAGCTGTATTAAATTACCAAAAATTCATGCAAAATACCCAGAAGACCCGAGGAGTGATCTTCATTAGTTATTGCTCGAGACTGTTATCGTAAGTGCGTCGTTGTGTGTTACCAAATAAAACTGATGGTGTCTGATAGAACAGGCGATGGGGATTCCGCGGTAATTATCAGCGTTCACTTCTTCCCAATAAAAACTGACGACGGGACGTTAGTCGAAGGCGATCACGTTGCTCTCCGTTGTGTTCGCTTGTTTGACTTTGTCATAACGACGGGTTCCGCGTCGCTAGTGTTATAACGACGACATCTGACGTGTGTCACCGTCGAAATACGCCCTGTTGAAATCCTCAGGGAAGAAAACAATAAGGGCATAATTCTGGAATCCACCCGGAAGAGAGTTTATTGTGTACAAAACCCGGAGGAGCTGTCTCCGGTGGCTGTTGCCGCTGGTTGGATCTCCAGCGCGCTCTTTGTCCCGCCTCGGGGC